TGAGGCTATTGCCTGCTAGAGTTAAGCTAGTAAGTAACAAGTGGCAGGTTGGATTTGAACCCAAGTTGGTGCTGGTCATTCCATTACGTTGTTGTCCTTAGCTGCCATTGAGTTGGGCTTGACTTAATGGTAACTCTGATAGTGTAGTGGTTACAAGTCGGGCTGTTAATCTCAAGGTCAGCAGTTCGAAACTACCAGCTATTCCACTGGAGAAAGATGAGGTTTTCTGTTCCTGTAAAGATTTACAGCCTTGGAAACCCTATATAAGAGTCAGAACTGACTATCCCACCACCAAGCAAAAAGGAATGAAATGCTGCCAATCCTTTGTCATCCCCAGGATGGGATGCAAATTACAGTGTTGTGATCCAAAGGGTTTTCACCGACTGATTTTCAGAAGTGGATTGTGCCAGGCCTTTGGCCTCTTGAGGATGGTAGTGCCCGTGTGAGGTGGGGCTGTGGGATGGTACTGCCCTCTGGTGGTTGCTGTCAGAGTTGCCGGGTGTCAGCACCCTGACTCAAAGGCAAACTGGGAGCCCACTGCAGTCCCCCAACTTCATCCCTGTCTTCTTTATCCCACTTCCTTCTCTTCATCTCAAATTTCTCAGAGGGCCTCAGGGCTGCTTTCTCATAGAACCGCTACAATGCAATTCAGCAAACATTTATTCAGCAGGAATTTAATGGTATGCCCAACTCTGTGCTTGAGGTTGGGGCTACCAAGATGTACAAGGCACAGTGAGATGATCCAGGAGGCTGGGGACTGATGGAGAGCACTCAGCAGAGCCCTAACTAATGCTGCAGTCAAGATTTAGTCACATTAGTCCCAAACTGGAACCAATCCAGATAATAGGTAAGGAATCCATCCATGGCATCCCAACAAGGTAGCAATTTGAGCCCACCAACCTCTGCAGGAGAAAGATGAGGCTTTCTACTTTCTCGAAGATTTAAAGCCTCAGAAACCCTCTGCAGGGTTGCTGTGAGTAAGAACCAACTTGACTGCACTTAACAACAACATGCAAAACATGAATAAATCTCAAAAACATTATGCTAAGCAATGATTGTGAGGAGGACGCAGGACCGGGCAGGGTTTTGTTCTGTTGTGCATAAGGTTGCTATGAGTCTGAACTGTCTCGATGGCACCTAACAATGACAACAAAGTAGAAGTCAGATACAAAAAAGTACACACTGTGTGATTCCATTTAGATGAAATTCTAGAATAGGAAAAACTGACCTGTATGTAGTAATAGAGATCAGATCAACTATTGCTTTTAGGGGTGGGGAATTGACTAGAAAACGTTAAGAAAGAATGTTTTGGGCCAATGGAAATATTCTGTGTTTTGATGTGCACTCAACTGAAACAGATTGAAGAGTTCTTTTAAGATCTGATGGTTTCAGTGCATGTAAATTTTACCTCCATTTAAGAGACGGCAAGAATCTTAATCATATACAAATGTGGGTATGGATGGATGACACAATACGATAGGAAATGGCTAAAAATGCATGCAGTAAGCAGTCACTCCAACACTAAATTATAGACACACATCAGTGATTGTAGCACACTGTAGGTGTCTCCTACAGGGTTCCCTACTTCCAAGTTTGCTCTCTAAGACCACACTCCAAGAAACAGGGATCAGTTTCTTCTCATTCCCTGCTCTAGCCCAAGAATCTAGCATGTATTCCAGGCTTGTCAAATGAATGAATGAATGAATGAACCTAGCTGGAAGAAAACATTCTTACATTTTACTGACCAAAGAACTGGAAGAGGGGACACTTGGATCGTCCTCCCTGGGTTGTGTCACTTGTTCACATTTTGTCATGGACACCTGACCCCAAAAGCACAGTCAGCTTTTAGGAAGCTGCGGGTAAAGGATTGGGCAGCAACCTCTGTCCTGGGCTCAGGCTCCTAGAGGGGGTGTGAAAGGAGCACCTGGTCCTGGGCTCAGAAGCATGAGAGAGAGTGTTACTCCATTCAGGGTGACCACACAGGGCTATGACAATAATCTGAGAAGAGGGGATGAAGCTTCAACTTGGAAAACACCACCACGGCAAGAAAGGAGAGGGCACATTTGAAGGCCATTGAGGACATGCCCTGGTGCCACAAACAGTTCATCTCTTGGTTGCTAACTGAAAGGCTGGTGGCTTGAACCTACCCAGCGCTCTTTTGGAGTCCTGGTGTGGCACCATAGGATAAGCACTGGACCACAAAATTGGCTTAAACTGCAAGGTTGGTGATTCAAACCAACCAGCTGCTCTTTGGAAACCCTATACAACAAATGCTTTTTCAGAGAAAGAGCTGGCAATCTGTCTGCAAAGATCACAGCCAAGGAAGCCCTGTGGGTCAGTTCTACTGTCACATGGGGCAACTGTGAGTCCAACTCGACTCGACACGTAACAACAAATCCAGCTGATCTTGATTAATTAAGAATTGCCCATCCTCTCTGTTTGCAGGGTTGACAGGGATGGGCAACTGAGACATTGGCTACCTAAAATGGGGGGTGGGAGGGAGGTGGCTGTAAAGGCACAAAGTGACTGGTTTACAAGTTTTCAAGAGGAATTTAGATTCATAGTATGTGGGGTAAGGTAGAATCTCCACTGAGTGGTTTTCATCGTGTCTAGACGTGTCTGGTGAAAGGAGATGGGGACAAGACTCCCATGATTCAATAGTGAGTAATTGTTATCATGACTAATTGCGATTGTTGCAACTGTAAGGGTAGAAATTTTGTAGCAAAAAGGGGTGAGTGGTCCATCTGGGACCATCGAGGGAGAAGAGTGGGAGCGGAGAGTGGGATCCTACCCAAGAGGAGCAGCGATGCCAGAGATGATGACATGGAGAGAGAGAGCAGCTAAGACTCTAGCCTCTTGGAGAGAGAGGGGCTATGTGCTGGCAGCTGGGGGTGGGGGGAAGGCTTGCAGGGTGTGCCCTTTGGCTATTTGAATGATTGTATATACCTGAGTGTTTTGGCGCACATTCAAAACAAAAAACAGAGGGAATAGAAGCAAATACTGTTGAAGGATGAAACATGCAGGGGATTGTAATCATTGCAGTGAAACAAATACACTAGGATGAATGTAAAACTGATGTTCCCCCATGTAAACTATCACTTAATTCACAATAAAAACTTAAAAAAGAGAGAGAGAGATTAAGGGAAGGAAATGAGGGCACCATGGCTTGAACAGATTCAGCGCCACAGACCTCTTAATTTGCCCTGTATGTTCCTCCAGGTCTACCGACATAGCCACTGGACTTGTCATTTCCCACAGTCCATTCAGCACTTACGGTGCCGACCCTACTGTGCTAATGTACTGTACTTCGTCCAAAAAAACAGTTTCCGCCATGAAGGACACAGATCTGCTCTTGGAGACAGACATTGATCACAATGGGATGGGGCAAGGAATCTTCACAGGAATGAAACATATAAAGCTGGGTCTCTGGGAGGAACAGGTGTTTGCCAGGCTAACAGACAGATAAAGGGAAAAAGGAAGCCAAGTACAGGGAAAGGCAGCCCAATGAAGAGCGTTATCAGAGGGGCAGCAGCATGGAGGATCGGTTTAAGACACGCGGAATTGGGCACTGACAGAAATTCAAGCCAGATTCAGAAGAGGATATGCCTTGGGAGATATTATTACTGATATCAGGTGGATCTTGGCTGAAAGCAGAGAATACTAGAAAGGTGCTATCCTGTGTTTTATTGGGCTACATAAAGGCACTTGAATGTGTAGGTCATAATAATAGATAACATTTTGAAGAATGAGAATTCACGTGCTCACGTGGAACCTTACATTGACCAAGAGGCAGTCTTTGGAACAGAATAAGAAATACTGTGTGGTTTAAAATCACAAAAGGTGTGTATCAGGGCTGTATCCTTTCACTATCGTTTTTTTCAATCTGTATGCTGAGAAAGTCATTTGAGAAGTTGGACTATAAGTAGAACATGGCACCAGGATTGGAGGAAGGCTTGTTCTCAACCAGCAATAGACAGATAACACAAGCTGACTTGCTGAAAGTAAAGATTAGAAACATTCGCTGGATTGCACCTCAACACAAACACTCACAACTAGATTCGTATCATCATGATAATGCAGAAAACACTGAAGTTGTCAGTTTTGAAACTGTAATTTTACTTGACTCCACAATCAATATCTGTTGTTGTTGTCTGTTGTTAAGTGCCGGCAGTCAATAAATCAAATAAAAAAAAAATTAAGTGACATATTGCATTGGACAGATTTGCTGCAAAAACCCTTTTTAAAGTGTTAAATGGCATAGATTTCACTCTGAGGACTAAGGTGTGTCTGAGCCAAACCATAGTCCTTTCGATTGCCTCATATATGCATGGGAAAGTTGGACAATGAATAAGGAAGACCACAGAAGAACTGATGTATCTGAATTATGGTGTTGGCAAAGAATATTGAATATGCCATGGACTGGCAAAAGAAAATCTGTTTTAGGACGGTCAGAACGCTCCTAAGAGTGAGGATGGCAGTACTTCATCCCGGACTTTAGACATGTTATCAGTCCCTGGAGAAGAACACCGTGCTTGGAAGTAGAGGTCAGAGATAAAGCGAAAGACCCTTAATGAGATAAACTGAGACTGTGTCTGCAACAAAGGGTTCAAACATGTCAACGATTGAGAGAATTGTGTTGGATCTGGCAGTTGTAATTAGGGTCGCTCCGAGTCTGGTGGGAATGGATTTCGAGCCCCTACTAGCGACCCGCGCTAGTCGGTGTACCCGGCGGAACCATTCTCCAGAAGTGGAGAGGGGGTTGCAATCCTTTTCTCCGAACTTAAGCCCACAGAACCAGTTGAAATTCCCATTCGATTTTTTTTCGTGCCCTTTCCTTATTTCTTCCATCTATTTGGGCACAATCACGCTCTGAGTGCGACCCCGTCTCAGGCACCATTCGTTGCTCCTGAGTCGTCCCCTCCCCGCGCGTGGCCCGGCCCGGCGGCCGCTTCAGACCCAGGTTATAAAGGCAGGGCTGCGGCAGCGACTGCGGACTCAGGATGCGCCCGGGCGACCCGGGCCAGAGCTGCGCCGCGGACGCGCCGAGCCCCGCGGGGCCAGACACACGCACGCCGGCACCGCAACCTGCAGCCGGCCACGCTCCGGAGTCCCCGGCCAAGACTGACCTCGCACCCGCGCAGACACCGGGGACTGGAGCCGGCGCCGGGTCAGCCTCCGAGTCTCCAGCCGGTTCGGGACACCCAGTCGGTGCTCACCCGGCCTTCAAGGCTGAAGCCGGGACAGGAACCCCACGCGTGTCCACAATCTCGGTCGCCCAGGGGGATGTCCAGTTTGTTTCCGGCCACTCAGACGCACCATGGACCCGCTTCATATTCCAAGGGCCCTTTGGTCCCTGGGCCGCCGGCCTGGGGACTGACAAGGCGGCGGGCATCTGGAAGACGCCGGCTGCCTTCATCGGCCGGCGGCCCGGGGTGTCCGGCCCCGAGCGTGCCGCCTTCATTCGGGAGCTGGAGGAAGGTAAACGGGGTCCCCAGAACCCTAGAGAGGGTAGGATGAGGGCAGCTTTAGAGAGGAGGGACCCCCGTCGGGGCCAAGCACACACTCCCACATTCACTGCCTGGTGGCCCTTTATCCATCTCCTCCCCTTTCTGTCATCCCAGATGGCCGTGGGTCTGTCTGGTGCAAAGCCCGCCCCCTCTACGCGCCTGTTGCCGCCCCGGCGGATCTGCGCACGCTCGGTGCCCCCTCCCCAGTCTACCGCAGTGCCAGTGCCGGGAGCGAGCGGGCGGGGGGCTCGGGGCGCCGCTGCCGGCTCGCTAGCCAGAGCTGGGGAAGTGGATGGATGAGTGGGAAGGTTTAGCTAACCATTTAACTTCCAGGGTCATGGGCAGGCTTTTCTCCACTCTGAGGGTGGGCAGGACTTGGGACTTCTGCCCTTCAGTCTTCATCCCTCCCATCTTCTTCTGAGATGGGGAAAGTCTCTGGAGGGGGGCGAGGTTAGAGGTTTAAGTGCCTCATCTGCAGTGCTGAGGAATAGATTTCTCATCTCCACTCGCAAAAGTTGCAGGCAAGTTTTATGACCCATGAGGCTCCAATGAGCCGGCCCAGGCTGTCCAAGGGTCTAGCGGTGATACGTTAGTCTGCAGCCAACTTTCTAGCTGCCTTTATTCTCCCAAGTGTCCTGAGAGCCCACTTCCACGTAAGCTTAAAGGATTGCAATCCCCTTGGTCATCCAAGCTTCTGGCAGAAATAATGAGACTCAATCCCGTGGTTTTGGGAGTGCTGAGCATTGAGGGGTTGTGGGGCTATCATCTTGTTGACAGAAATTGGAGATGGGACAGGAAGGGGTGGATTGGTGTGGGGGCTCTGTACCCTCCCCATGACCTGATTAGACCTTTTCTCACTGCCCTGTCGCCTTCAGTGCTGTGTTCTGACCGTCCCCCACCAGTTAAGAAGATCGCCCAGAAAGATGTGCAAGCTATGATGAATTTGCTGGAGGAGGTGCGTGCTGCTCTTTCCAGGCAACTCCAGGCCTTCATTTAGTCCTGTGGGCCCAGGTCCAGTCTCCATCCTGCCTGGCTACTTCTCTGGGGGTGCCTCACATGGGAAACCCAGGCTGGGAGAACTCTTAGAACTGATCTGGTCTGATCTGTTCTTTCTCCATAAAGGGAAACTGAGTTAGGCCCCACAGTGGCTTAATGGCAGACACAGGAGGAAATGGGAAGGGGCTTCCCCTGGTAGTCCAGCCTCCCTCTGAGCCCTGTGCCCCTCTCACCTTCCCCGCCTGTCTTGGAGATCCATCCCATGAATGGTGGTCCCTCCACAGAGAGAGCGAGATCTGAGTACAGCAGCTGGCCTTGGCCAGTCCCTGGTGAAACAGAACAGTGCTTTGATGGAGGAGAACAGCAAGCTGGAAGCCATGCTGGACTCGGCCAGGAAGGAGGTAACTGGTGGAGGCTGGGAGGGAGAGGTCCATGGTGCCAGGAGCAGGACGTGGCCTCCTGTTCCTGCCTGCTCCCAACCCAGGCTCCTCTCCCCTCCTGCCAGATTTTACACCTTAGACATCAGGTCAGCTTGCGGGATGACCTCCTTCAACTCTACTCAGACTCTGATGAGGAGGAAGAAGAGGAAGAGGAAGAGGAAAAAGAAGAGGAAGAGGAAGAAGAAGAGAAAGAAGAGGAGGAAAAGGGAGAGGAAGAGAAGGCAGAAGAGGAGGAAAAAGAAGAGGAAGAGCAGCAGTGTGATTATTCCCATGATGCTCCCAAGCCGTGAGTGCCTTTTGCACCTGAACCATTTACAAACAGAGACACAGACAGCATGTGTGCTCAGTCTTGTTGGGATGAATTGGGATTGCCACACATTGCCTGGGTGGGGAATCCCTGGGTGACCTGGGTGCTCTCCTCTCTGCACCCCAACTCCCATTACTCCCTCCCCCAGGACTCTTCAGGAGGAACCTCTGCACTGCTGCCCACAGCTGGAAGTCCTACAACAGAGGCTGAGGCTGTTGGAGGAGGAGAATGATCAACTGAGAGAGGTGAGGAGGGAGGAGGGGACAGCACTCAGAGGGGGGGGTGTTGACACTCCTGCCCCTTCCTCTCTCCCTCCCTCCAGGCCTCCCACCTCGACACCCTGGAGGAGGAGGAAGAGCAGATGCTCATTCTGGAATGTGTGGAGCAGTTTTGTATGTGATGTTGTAACTAAGGGGAGGGACTGTTCCCTAGGAGTGGAGGGAAAAACTCCGGACTTGGAGTCTGGTGACCAAAGTTCAAGTTCCAGCTCTGGCGCTCCCTAGCTGTGTGAACTTGGGCAACTTCCTTGACCTCTCTGAGCTTTAGTCCCATCACCCTTAAAAAGAACATTCATTATCTAGTCCCTACTGACCTCTCCAAAAGGCTACAGGCCCGAGAGAAACAACAGTTGAGGAAGTGCTTTGTGCAGATGATGTAAAATGCTCTACAGAAGCGCTGGCTGTCCTCTATGCCTGTCTCCTGTTATTGGAGTGAACACAGGGAGGGACTGCAAGTAGGGAAGGCCTGGAGCCAAGAGCTGCCAGAGACCTAGCTCCCTGAGCCATGGGGCAGGGACAGGTCAGAACTGTGCTGTAGGTTGTGGTTGTACCTGGCTCTGTCCTAGGCACTGTGAGCAAGTGAGACACAGCATCTGTGCCCAGGGAGCTCAAGTCTAGCCAGATACAGACCCAAGGTGGCAACAGCCAAACCCATCCATTCCCTTCACCCTAAACCTCTGACTTCCCTTCCTGGGTTCCAAAGCTCCCTGACTGACCCTGCTGGCCCCCAGGCCCTGGAGCCTGCTTTCATTCTCATTCCTCTTAGAAATTGTTCAAGCCTCCTCCCCATCCTCACTCCGCTGCCCCCTAGCTCAGGCTTCTTAACTGACCTCCTGCCTCTCCCCCTGCTCTCCTAGGCTCTCCTCCACACAGGGAATCCGTTTTCTAAAACCTAATCTGACTAGGTCACCCCCCTGTTTGTAACTCTTCAAAATGGCTTCTCATTGGCCAAAGAGTCCGCCTCAGCTTCCCTACCAGGCTGTTGTGTTCTGGGCCCTGCCATTCCCTGCGACATCTTGTGATGGTTGCTTCTGGGCCTTTCCGCACTCGACATGGGCCAGTGTCCTCCCTTCTTTTCCTGGCCAAACCCCATTTGCCCAGTAGAAATTGTAGCTTAGAGGTCCCTTCCTCCAGAAAGCCATCCCAGACTTGGTGAGGCAGGACTGAGTATGCAGCTGTATGCCCTGTACACCTACATTATTGATTTCTTTTTCCCAACTGTCTCTGCGCTAGACTTGAGCTCAGTGAAGGTGGGACCAAGTCTCACTGACTGCTCACCTCAGTGCCTGGCTCAGTGTCAGCCAATAAACATATGGAAAGGAGACCTGACTGAGGAATGCTAAGCCCTATGGAACCATCTGGAGCTCCCAGGAGCAGAGGGGTGGGTGTAGGTAGAGGAGTTTGGGAGGACCAGAACTGGTCTCCAAAGGCCAGGAGAGTGAAGGCTGACCTGCCATGTCCTGCTCTTCCTCAGCCGAGGCCAGTCAACAGATGGCCGAGCTGTCAGAGGTGCTGGCCCTCAGGATGGAGAACCATGACCGGCAGCAGAGGGAGGTCAGCCAGCTGCGGGCCCAGGTCTTGAAGCTGCAGCAACGCTTCCAGTCGGTGAGGAGGAGTATGTGCGGGGCTCCCCCACTCCTGTCCACCCCCACAGGCTCTGTCTGCATTATCTAGTGTTACCATAACAGAAATAGCACTAATGGGTGGCTCTAACAAGCAAACATTTCTTTTCTCGCAGTTTAGGATGTTAGAAGTCCAAATTCAGGATGCTGTTTTTAAAAAAATGTTTTATTGTGAATTATGTGATAGTTTACAAGTTTACATGGGTGAACATTAGCTTTACATTCATCCTATTGTATATTGTTTCATTGCTATGGTTATAATCCCCTCCATGCATCATCAACCAACCATGGGGTATACCCCTCAAGCATGCTCCCTGGTCGTCAGTACACAGCCCCTCTCCTTCTCTGGGTCTAGAGTCTCCAGCTGCTCCATCTCTCCACGTCATTGTCTCTGCCTCTATCTCTGGCATCACTGTTTCTCTGGGTAGGGTCCCGCACTCCGCTTTTCTCCTTTGATGGTCCCAGGGACCTCCGCTAACTTTACATCTCCAACCCTCACAATCAGTCCTGATAGCAATTATTCAATATTGTACCGTAAGAAACCTATCCCCATCTCCTTTCATCAGCTCCGCCCAGACAGATTGGATGCTACTCTGTGGAGATTCTACCTTCCTGTGTGCCCTCTGGATTTAGGTTCCCTCTTGAAAGCTTGTAAGCCAGTCACTTCTTGCCTTTGTAGCCCCCCCCATTTTGGGTAGCCAATATCCAAGTTGCCCATCCCTGTCTACCTTGTGTATCGAGGGGGTAGGAATGGGCCTTGCTATAAAGATTTGTTCCCTCTGTTGAGCTACTGCATCCATAGGTGTAGGTCAAGTTCATCAAATTATACAGGATGCTTTTTTTATTGTTAAGTGCTGTCATGTTGGTTCCAACTCACAGTGGCTCTCTATAGGGTTTCCAAGAAGTGACTGGTGGGTTTGAACTGCTGACATTGTGGTCCAAACTGACCTTGTGGTCTAGTGCTTATCCTACAACACAAGACAGGACCCCAGTCTGTTTGTAGGGGAAGGCTTTCTCTTTCAGCTCTGGGGAAGTTTCTTATCCTTGGCTTCTTGGTGATCTTCTCACCGTGTCTCTCTTTTACCATCTCAGCTTTTCAAATGCTTATTTCATTTCTTTTCTATCTCAAGAGAGATTGGCTCAAGTAGGTCAAACTATTTCCAGGCATTACATAATTTGGGAGTCCTGGTGTAGCACTGTGGGTTAATGTGCCAGACTGCAAAGCCATTTGAACTGCAAGACTGTTGGTTCAAGCTCTCCAGCCTCTCCTCGGAAACTCTATAGCGGGTCGCTATGGGTCGGAACCGACTCGACTCGACGGCACTTAACAACATTACATAATTTATTTCCGTAACATGCCAGTGAATCATCTAGTAGGTGTTGTGTTAAGACTTCATTTAATTCTCAATAAATTGAAGACTGTTAAGACTGAAAAAAAAAAAAAAAAAACACAAAAAAATTCACCCACATTTCTAAAACTTTGATAATACTTTTATGTGGCTACATTAGAATATTACAAGGATTACAGGCATACACCATTTTATTGTGCCTCATTCAGCACCTCATAGATACCGCTTTAAAAGAAAAAAAAGAAAGTTTTGACAACCTTGCTTAGAAAAAAAAAGAGATTGGCTCAAGACACACCTTATACTTATCTAATTAGCATAATATAATATTCAAATGGGATTATAGCCACAGGGGTAGAGGTTAGGATTTACATCACATATTTTGGGGAGGCTCAATTTACGGCCCCTTCTCTGGAGTCTTTGGTTCCCAGCGTAGCCAGGCCCACTGCCCCTCTCCATTCAGAGTTAGAAGAGATTCAGGGAGCCCCTCATCCTGCCCCCTCATTGCCCCAAGGAGGGGACCAAGGCCCAGAGAGGGTCACAGGTCTGCCGGGGAGCAGGTACAGAACTCTCCCACCTTAACTTGATTGCCTGTGTAGCTCCTTAGGTTAAGGGGTTGGAAAGACTTACTAGCCGCTGAAGGTGTGTGGGGAGTGGGGAGGCTCAGGTGGACACGTCACCAGTCTTGGGTCCTTCCAGTACGGAGCGGAGACTGAGAAGTTGCAGCAGCAGCTGATGTCGGAGAAGGAAATCCAAATGCAGCTACAGGAAGAGGTGAGCCTTTCCTCGGATGCTTACAGCCCCTGTGAGCCCCTGGCCCAGAGTGAGGACCCGAGATCCCAGCCAACTCCCTGTTTCAGGAGAGGACAGCATCTTTCAGGCAGCTATGGGGTCTCATGCCCTCCGTGTCTGGTACAGGGGTACCCTGCATGCCACTATTTGGGAGAGATGGGGAGCAGTGCACTGGGCTGGGTCCTGATAGAGCTTGGGGGTGGGTCCCAGCTGCAGGACCTACGAGAGAAGTACATGGAATGTGGGGGCATGCTGATTGAGGCTCAGGAGGAGGTGAAGACCCTCCGACAGCAAGCTCAAGTGTCCACTGGCTCCATCATCCACTACACGTACACCATGCCTCTGGTGAGCACCTCCCCTGGCTGCCCACCTTCCCCCAGGTGCCCTACAGGGATCAGGCACCCTTAACTTTGGTGCCTTGTATGTTTTGGCCCTGCTGACTGGTTTCCACCCTCAGCACGTTCTGTGCCTGGAAGTGTGGTGGGGCTTTCTTGGGGTCCTCTGACAGTGTCCCCCTTCCGCCCTGTAGGAGGCACTTCCTGGCTTTCAGGAGGCCCTGGCTGAGGAGCTCAGAACATCTATACGGAGAATCATAGCAGACCCTGCGTTCTTCATGGAAAGGTGAATTACTGAGATGCCCAGCCCACTTGCCCTGCTATTCCCATGGCAGGGTGGGGGCTAGCCCTCACCCTCTGACCTTCCTTTACCCATGGTGCCCTCCTCAAGCTCCCCTACTCATTCACTGCCCCACCTCCTCCACTCACCACCCTTTTCTCTGTCCCTATGGTGTGGTGCATCCTTTCTCTCAGGAGTTTTTGCTGGCTGGGCCAGCTTCCTCTGCCTCTGTACAGTGAGGGCCCTTTTCTCTGTTGAAGGAACTCTGAACGAACGTCGAGGGAGACCTCAAACCTGGGGTAAGCTGGCCAGGGGAGCCTCCATCACCTGCCCTCACCTTCCAGCAGCCAGACAAGCTCTTCAGTTGGTTCTGTGGCCTACACCCTGGAGAAGAGCCCAACTACGTGGCTGAAAGTTGTTCTGGGAAGGAGTTGCCCCCTTTTCGTTCAAATCTTGCCTCAGAGGTGCCACTTGACTTAAGGCTGCCCAAGTGGGGACCAGGGCTTTTCTTTCAGCTGACTAGAGGCTCCCAGGCAATGAGCATGGGCCTAGAACCTGGGAATGCCTGGGCCTGAGGACCAGCTTGGTCCCTTTACTGACTCTGTGTTCTTGAGCAAGCCACTGCTTGACCCGTCATATTCCTATGGCAAAGGACTTGTTTCTGGGGCAACGAGCTGTGGGGTAGGTCTCAAAAGTTAAATGATGGGGTGTTTTCCCTTCTGGTCTGTTCCCTGCAGCCGGGAAAGCAGATAGAGCCTATGCACTGTTAGGCCATCTTCCTCCCCTCTGCCCTAGGAGCTGGGTATTTGAAGTCAGGCAGTTCCCCTCTGGGATTAGCCATCAGGGTTTGTATACAGACTGGTGGGGACAGGAGAGCTCCCTGAGGAGTGGGAGTGGGTGCAGACAGACTTTCTGGCTCGGCCCTTTGGTAGGAGACATCCTAAGGGTGTGGAAGGAAGGTGACTGAGGGCTCCGTGTGGGGCTATGGAAAGACTTTCCTGTCTCCCTGGCCAGGTATGAGTCACGCTACCCTGAAGAGCAACAACAGCAGCAGAGGTTCAAGGCTGAGGAGGGCTTGATGCCAGCAGAGGATTATGTGCCGGCAGAGGAGCTGGGCATCGAGGAGGAAGAGGTGGTGCTGGCCCAGGAGGGGATGGTAGATGAGGTGGAGCCAGAGGAATCTGACGCCTGGGAGGAGGTGGAGCCAGACTTGGATGAGGCGTCGCAGACCGATGTGGTCACCTCAACCATGGAGGCCAGTGGCTTGGGCCCCTCGCACCCAGACAGGAAGCGTGCCCTCCAGCAGCTGTCCAGCTGTCGGGATGCCCATTGCAGGCGGGAGCTGAGGCAGAAGATACTTCAGAAAGGTGAGTGCTCCCGTGGGGGCCTCCCTCTGGCCAGCTGGACAAGCTGCAGATCATTAATTAAAGCCATGAAAGGTGAGGGTGGGTGAGCCCCCATGTGCTCACTTTACCCCAGCCTGGTCCCACCCAGCGTGCTGATTTGCATGAACTTTGCATACCATTTGCATAGGCACCTTAGGGCCCCCTCAGTGGGAAAAGGGACCTCAGTGCTCATTTACATGGACTTAATTTAGGAGTCCAGATCTCCACTCCCTTTTCTCCTGGGGACTGGGCTGGGGGTCAGGGCTGGGACTGTATGTAGCCCCCTACTGGCCCTCAGCTTCCTGTCTCTGCTCGCCCCTTTCCCCTACCCCATCCCACTTCCCCCCTCCCCAAGGCTCCCCATCCTTGCAGCAGTGGCAGCCGCAGGCCAAAACAAACATGGGGGGCGGGATCGTGGAGCAGCGGCCCAGGGTGCCCACCCAGGACTTTCGGAGGCTGGAGGAGGACAGGGCCAACCACCCTCCCAGGGCCTGGGAGGAAGAGGGGCCTTCTGGGACCACCCAGGCCATTGGGACCAAGGCCCCCGCCAGCAAGGGCCACAGTTGGACCAGTTCCCTGGGTGAGTCTGAAGGTGGGCTAGGGTCTCCTGCAGGGTCGAGGGGGTGGTGGGCCAGGGTCCCCCCAGCCAGGAAATCCCAAAGGTTGGCGAGTCACACTTGATTCATTGCAAGTGTGAGCTAGGTCAAGTGAGACTTGCCTTTCAGCCGCTCATGAGATTTCACAGTGAGTTACTGATTGTTATGCCCTGAGCATTATCTCCTTTAATTCTACACCTCTGTAGTAGGCATTGTTACTGCTGTTTAGCAGGTGAGGAAACTGGGTTCAGAGAGCTCTGGTCCCTTGTTGAGGGTGACCAAGCTAGGCGTGGGTCTGAGCCCGTTCCCTGACTGCGTCTCCTTAGGGCCTTCCCAATCCGGCCCTCCCCTCTGATTCTGTCCTAGTGCCTGTTTACCCTACTGTGCTACTGTGTCAGCTTGAAGCCTCCACCATGGCCTTCACCTCTGGCCTGGCCCACTCTGCTGGCTAGGTGGATCAGCACTGGTCTTACGCTCTCACAGGGCCGCTGTGTAAAGTTGTGCAGGCTGTCAACTGAACAATGACCTCTGTAACCATCAACGGTAGCTCGCTATCCGCTCATCAGGCTGCCGTCCCGTCCCTGCCCACTGCCCAGGCCAGGCCTGTGGTCTTTAGGCCCTCAGTTCACGTCCACCCCCCCTTCTCTTCCAGGCTTTGCTGTTTCCCAGCAGCCTGCAGAGGCCCTACAGACAGCATGAGACCCCTCCTGCTGCTGCCTGGCCAAGCCCCACCTGCCCCCCACCCTCCTTCCCATTTTCCTAAACAGGACCCCCTGTCTGTCCCCAGCCCTCCCTCTGTCCTGATGAACCTGGGCCAGAGTTTGAGGGCCCAAGCCTCGACCCTCTTTTGGGACAGGCTGAGGGAGCCCCGGCCCTTGTTCTGTAGCTGGTGTAAAAGCTGCAGCTGCTGGGCGTGGGTCACCTGGTGGCCCAGGGGCCGGAAGCAGCCCCGGGGGCGGCCCGCTAGCTACCAGACCCAACTCTGAGCTGGCGTGACTGAGCTGGGGGGAGTTGTCCTAAGTACCCCAACATCATACCCTTTACCCCATTACTCCCAAGTCAAACGTGGCTCCCTAGTCCTGGTGGACTTTTAGGGACCTGACTCCCTTTTCCTCATCCTCTGTCCTGTCTTCTCAGGCCCTAGTTTATTGTTTTAACCAGAAGTGTCTGTGGGTGAGGAGTCCCTCTGCCCAGCGGTGTGGGTCCCTCTCCCCCTAACCCCACCTGTGACCTGTGACTCTCCAGGCTCCCACCCGAGCCCCGATTACCCACTTCCCTCAGTTTCTTATTCCAGATGTTCTCCCCTTTCCTGCCCCATACTCGTAAGCAGTTGGGGTCTGGGACTCAGGACCCTCCGTCAGTACCTGCCCTGCTCCCCACAGTCCTCCTCGGTCTGGGCTTGCTTGTCAGCCTGCGTACATGCTGGTGCAGGAAATAAAGGAGCTGTTTGCTACCTGACCAGGCCTTCGTCCATCTGTCTCAGGGAGTGCTTGCGTGCGTGCATGCATGTGTGCATGCGTGCGTGCGTGCGTGTACTCAGTTGTACTCAAGCACCATGTTGAGTTCATTCTGCTCTGACCCTGCTTCTTTAAGGCAAAGGATGGTAATAATGTCTTTTTAAAAAAACCTGTAACTAGAGGGTGATTGGTATAAGCCATGGACCTCCCACTGCTGGTATTGACCTGGAAGCCCTAAATGATACTTATCACCTCTTTCCTCTAATCAGCTAATCAACTCTAGAGTTCCCTCATTCTTGGCCAGCATTCCAGCTGGTCCAGGTGGCTTTGCTGGTGTCGTATCCTAGACTTTCATTCTTGAAAGGTCTGAAGCCTTGGTTACCAAGTCCTTGTTGGCCGTCTTTGCTCCGATTGCCCGTTTATGATGGTCACCAGGCAGGAAGCACTGATGGTCCCTTGATGGAACCCCAGTGAATCCCATAACTTCTAGATGTACTCCTTCCTGTCCACAGTATGAGGCAGTGATCTGGCTCCTCATACTAATCCAGTTCAGTAACCTCTGATAGTAATTGATTTTTCTTTGCTTGCTGGTCTACAGGCTTGCATGAAGAGTCAAAAAAGATCAGGCAGCAGCTGTAAGTTTAGATTTAGGGAAATCTTTACTGTATTCCTTGATGGAAGCATCCTCTCCCCTCCACGTCCACCCCAATCAGGAGCTTGGGTCCAGCAGAGTCTACAGTTGTGGAGACAGGAAGTGTAAATTCCTGAGCTAGACCCTTTGGTGTGATGGGAGAGGGCCCACTTCTACCTCCATCCCTTGGTTTCTGGCCCCGTGTATTATGACTATCAGGTACATACACCATGGTCTTAGGATAAGTTCCCCTAGAAGCTGGTTTGTAGTACAAGTAGTTTGTTTGGGTGGTGATCCCAAGAAACACCAGTAAGTGTGTGAGGAAGTGAAACAGGGCAGGGAAAGAAGCCAATAAAGGCTGCAGCCTTGAGCAAGTTCCTGCGGTGGGAAACAGTGTGATGGGGGGGGACCTCTGGGAGGTACTGAAGAACACCCCTTCTGAGGAGTGAGGGAACTGGGGTACTCATCCTGCGGCTCTACCCTCGCATTGACTCAGGGCTGCTTCTGAAAACATGAATTCCCCTGCATTTCCAGCCTTGTACTCGGACTGAGAAACAGCCATCCTGTGGACAGTAGCAACTGCACAGGACACTGTCAACATGCCCAAGAACAACGAGGGACTGTGGGGAACAGCGACACGTGCCTGCTCTAGCCACTCACGGGTCTATTTCACAGGTGTTTCCAGGTAGCTCCTGTGTGTCAGGCACTGCTGTTGGCACTGGGGACACTGGGCACTGGGAAGAAGGCATATGTGCCCCCCACCACCACCCCCCGAGCTTCTCTTCTAGTCAGGGAGGCAGACAACCAGCAACCCAACTACAGATGGCAAAATGTGCTCTAAAGAGAAGACTTTAGACACACAGGTCTGTGTGTGAAGGGTGAGGGCAGAAATGGTGGGTCTCTCCGGAGGCATTTCAAGCAAGGCCTCAAGGATAAAGGGGGGCAACCATGTGCAGAGCCTGGGAAAGAGCATTCCAGGGGTGGGGTGCATCAAGGACCAAGGTTCTGAGCAGGAAAGAATGTGTGTGGTGGGGTGAATATGACAGAAAGGAAGAGAGAAAGGGGATGGCACAGATGGTGGGGAGGACCCCAGGGCTTTGGGAAGGAGTTTGGATGTTCTCCTGAGTGCAGTGGAAATCACTGGAAAATTTTGACCGAAAGAGACCCGATTTGAGTGATCTTTGTAAGATTTGCTCTGGCTGCGATCCCACCACCTACTTGTCCACCAGCAACTGTAGATTCTGGTTCAGTGTCTAGTCTCGGGTCACGGTAAAGTCCCCTCCCAACTCTACTCCCTGCTTCAACACCCCGAGTCCCACTGAACTTGATAAGAATGATCTTTGGAAGCGACTTTATTTTATTTTTATTTGTTTTTCATGGGGCAGGGCTGGGCTGGGGCAGGAGGGCGCTGGACTCTGAAGCTGGTCCTAGGGATGTTCATCCCCTTCCTCCACACTGCGGCGGCCAAAGTCCATCCATCCGTATGCTTCTTCTTCTTCCTGCATCCACGGCCCCTGCTTCTTGGCCAGGTCTGGGGAGTGGGACAAGGAGAAGGGTCAGCAGTGGGCCTGGGGGCTGAGGCTAGGGCCAACTTTCAGGGACCTTGCTCAAGCCTGATTAGCCAGGTAAGTAGGGAAGACTGTCAGTAACTCCTACCTGCCACAAGGTGTGGGGGGCCCTGGGCCCCCAGCTGCCTTTGGTGACGAGAGGCTGGGCCCAACTGGTCTGGCCAGTGCAGCTCCAGGCCCTGGCTTGCCACTGAACCCGAGGGGTGGTCCTGCATCAGGGAGGAGGGCTTTCTAGAAGCTTCGGAGAAGGCAGCCAGAGCCATCACAAAGATCAGCATGTATGCACACAGGTGCTGCATTTTCTCTGCAAAGAGGAGAAAGAAAGGGGCTTAAAGGTGGGGCTGTCCCCAGGCAGGTGCAGAGGCAGGGGACTGTGCTGGATGGGCTCCAGGTCCCTTCTGCTGTGTGACATTGTGGACTATTGCTCCTTCCAACTGTGCCCTGGAACCCAAGCCTTGCGTCTCTTCTCTTCACCCAACTACGGTGAAGGCGACTTGTGGAGGAATTAAAAACCTAGAACAATGGTTTCTGAGTGCTTCTGTATATCTATGAATCTGTACATGTTTTGGGTCTTGTCATTTAAAGTTAATGTTGAAATAGTAACACCCAAGGAACATACACACTTAACCTTCTGGAACAAACAGTACCACCTTGGGAAGCATCATCACTTGGATCAACAGTTATTGTGAAGGATCTCTGGTAACTGAAGAGAAATCTTCCATGATTGCAATGAAGCAGTTTTATAAACTGTCGCCATGTGCAACTCTTGATCGGATGGATTCAGTTTGGGGAGGCTAGACCACAGAATCAAGTTATAGCTCCAACAAACATCAAATTCAAATGCTCTTCTGTTCTCTGGCTTCAACCTTTTTGTGCTCTTTGGCCTCATTCCTCTGATTGGCTTTACTGTAAGTTCACTTTGAATCAATTCTGGCTCAGCACGACCCTATGTGTTTCAGAGTAGAACTGAGCTCCATAGGATTTTCAGTGGCTGTGAACTTTTGAAAGGAACCCTGGCGGTGCTGTAGGATAAGCACTGGACTGCTAACCTCAAGGTCGGCAGAAAGATGAAGGCTTCTGCTTCCATACAGATTTAGAGCCTCAGAAACCCTATGCAGGGTCACTGTGAGTTGAACCCGACTCAGTGGCAGTGGGTTTAGTTTGAGGTTCGGTGACCTTTGGCAACTGGATCATCATGCCTGTCTTCCGAGGCACCTCTTAGGAAATTTTTTAAATAGCATTTTTATTCATGACAAACTCAGAAAGAAGGTTTTTTTTACATTTAATTTTCCTCTCAGCATCCCTCAGTTTTCATGAAATAATCATAGCAAAATGGTTATCTCTTCATTATAAGATTACTGTTGTTGTTAAGTGCTGTGGAGTCGGTTCCGACTCATAGCAACCCTTTATAGGGTTTCCAAGGAGCTGCTGGTGGGTTTGAACTGCCGACTTTGTGGTTCAAACCAACCTGCGGTCCAGTGCTTATCCAACAGTGCCACACCAGGACTAAAGAAGAGATATATAAAACACAAAGTTTATTTAATAGTTAGGGAAGCAGTGGGGAGAAATTCATAGTAAAAGCATAAATTCTCTCAGTTTAGTAGATTAGCCTAAGTCACTACCCCAAACATGTCTCGTGGCGCCAGCACAAACTGAAGCAACCCTTATCTCCTGGGTTCCCTCACTGCCTATTACGGACTGAATTGTATCCCTTCAAATTTTACACTGAGATCCTAATCCCTGTCCTTTTAACTGTGACCTAGCTTGGAAATAGGATCTTTGAAGATAATGTCAGTTAATATGAAATCATACCTGAGGAGGAGGGTGGTCCCAGAAAGGACACAGACAAAGAGACAGAGGGGAATTGCATCTACAAGTCAAGGAATGCCTGTGTCTGCTAGAAGCTAAGAGAGGAGAAAGGATGTTACCCTGGGGCCTTTAAAGAGAACGCAGCCATGCCAATACCTTCAATGTGGACTCGTGGCATCAGGAACCGAGACAAACCAACAATTTTCCTCAGTTGTACCAGTTACATTTCAAGTGCACAGGTAGCTACCATATTGGGTAGTGCAGAGATGTAACATTTTCACCATCAGGAAAAGTTCTTTTAATTGCGTCTCAGTTTTTTCATCTGAGCAATGGGGAGACTAGTCCTCATCTGCCTCACTCGCCAAGGTTGGTGTGAACGGCATGAGAGTGAGGGCAGGACAGGGCCTGGTTGAGTCCCACAGGCTGAGGATGCAGGCAGAGCCCTATTGCTGAGACCCAGGCCCTAGTTTTACTTAGGGATAAGGGAAGGCTTCCTTCCCTGGAACCCAGAGGCATAGCCCTAGACTATAGCCTCTGGCCTGGTACCTGGATGCAGCAAGAGGGGTCCTGTTCACCCCTTTCCCACCTCCCACAGTGCACTGGGAGTTTTCTCACCTGCAGAGCTGGGTGGTGGGTGATGCAGTGGTAGGACCTGGAGCTCTTGGTGCCGTGCTTTGCTGGGTCCTCAGCCCAGCCTTATAAAGCCCTTGGGCCCTCCCAAGCCCTCCTCCCCATGAGGCCAGTCTCTCCCCACATGGGAGGAGTTGGGGTGGGACAAAGGTACAGCCCATTACCCTGCCATTTAGTATCCATCAGTCAGCTGTCAACTAGGTGGGGGAAGGGAAGGGATGTTGACCTTCATGGTGAAGGACAAAGGTGGGATGGGGGCAGGCAGGAGACAAGCTCCCTGGGTCCAGGACAGGATGCTCATTTCTTAACCTGCATTCATTCCATTGGGAGGTAGGTGGGGTGGATGGACCAGAGGACTTAGATTCAGAAGAGGCATATTTTACCAAATACTGATGTTTGAAGAATAGGGAGCGTGTGAACATGGGCTGATGTATTGGCCCCTTGGTCCCCTCTGCAAACAGAACGTGCCATGGTTATCAGGAGCAATGGACCATGGCTGATAGCCCAGCAGTGTACATCCTGGTTGTCGTCAGAACCCCCTTCAGCCTTTTTTTTACTTTGGAAAACCATCTGCATCTCCCTTCTCCATGTGCCTGCTGGACTGGGCTGGATTGGGTTTTCAACATCCCCTTCATCTCTCTAGGTCTGCTTCCCATCCCCCACCTCCTGCCAGCACCCTATCCCAGTATCAATTCCTGTGAATCTTGCATTTCAAGTCTCCTCATTTTGCTTTCAAAGAGTCATTTGCATAATGCATCCACAGTTTTCCAATACAAAAACACATCTTAAAATGGTTAGCAAACCCAAGATGTCTGAAAGCAAAACGGTGTGCTTGTTGATTTATTTGATAAATTATTTCTTTAACTTGGTGTGGGCAGCTATAACTAGTTGTTGCCCATTTTTTATTTGTCCATAGTTGATACTAGAAATGTTGCTCTCATTCATGTGTTATAAAGGCTCCTTCTTGTCTGGGGGAAGTTTACATGTCCCTTGGAAGTTGGATGAGGGACAGTGGTACCCACGTTCACAGGTGACGAAGGAAGCAGGCTATGAGGTATCCATGGCAACCGGCAGTAAATGTTCTTGTGAATAACCACTCTAATCCAGAGCAGGACTCTATGATTCAGCAGATGAAATGAATGAAAATGATAAAAACAGCGTAGGCACTGGCGGGTGATAATTGAATTACCAGATCTCAGAGATGGAAGGGAGTCTGGGGGCAGCTCTGCTCACACTCTAGGGGAGTAGAGACATTTGTGTTGCTGTGGTAACAAGACATCAGAAGCCTTCAGCAGGGCTCCACTTCTGCCAATGAAGGGTGATGGTCTCCCGGGCTGCTCTTGCCTAGGTTGGGGGCGTCTGGCCATTTCCCAAGCAGAAGCACGGGCTTCCATCCAGCGGATGGTACAGGCCTGCTGTCTACAGGCACTGGCAGCTGTCCTGTGCAGAAGTGAGAAAGCACAGTCACAGATGATGTTTCCTGTGCAGGTGAACACTGTCTGGTGGGTTTCCCTGGCTCTGCCTCTGCCCCTTTCCGGCTGTTGAACTTTGGATAAGTGCCCCCTCCTCTCTGAGCTGTTTTCTCCTCTTAGACATGAAGAAAACAACTTGGAGGGCCTTATGAAGGGGAGTGACATAAAGCAGCCTGTGTCCAGTGTTCTGTTGAGCACCTTCCCCTCCCTTAGTCTTTCTGCATCGCAGGGAGATGTCACTCATTCCTTCCTCAGTGAAGGGAAAATGTGACAAGGTCTGAGGCTCCATGGGCTGTGACTCAGAAGGACATCTGCCCTGTGTTGCCACTGAAAAGGGTGCCAGGATGGAGCCCTATGGGGGTTGGCGTACAACAGGCTTTGGAACTGGATCTTGGCTCCAGCACAGGCCAGAAAATGTAGGGTCTGGGCCTAAGGAGTTGAGGGCCCCCTCCTTAGGCCCCTGCCCTCATGACAACAGTACTGTGTGCCAGGTACTGACAAGCCCTTTACATGTGTGATGTCGTGCTAGCATGTACCCATTCTACAGATGATGAAACTGAGACTCAGGGCTTAAACCTCAGGTCTCTGGGATCCTTCTCCTCCAGAGAGGTACAGTAGGCAGTATAATGAAACCCAAAGCTGTCCACATGCCAATCCCTGATGTCACATGCAGATGAACTTTAAAATGGAAACTCGCCGGGTGATGTGAACAATCTGTGCTGGACTGCTCTCGTGTAAGAAGGACCTGGTGGTCTGCTTGTTATGATTAACCAAAGCCAAAAACATTGCCGCGGAGATAATTCTGACTCATAGCGACTCCGTAGGACAGAATGGAGTCCTGGTGTGGTGCTGTGGGTTAATGTGCTGGACTGCAACGTTGATTTGAACTGAAATGTCAGCGGTTCAAGCTCACCAGCCCCTCCTTAGAAACCCTATACAGGGTCGCAATGAGTCGGAATTGATTACACGGCCTTTCACAGCAACAGGACAGAGTAGAACTTTCCCACGGGGTTATCAAGGCTGTTGATCTTTATGGAAGCAGACTGTCTCCTTTTTCTCCATGGAGAGACTTGTGGGTTCAAATCACTGACCTTTCAGTTAGCATCCAAGAGCTTAACTTGGTGCCACCAGGGTCCCCCCAGTTAAGATCACATCCAAGAAAACCCTGGCCGAACAGCTCTGCTCTGTAATGAATGGGTCGCCATTAATTAGGATCAATGTAATAGCTCTCAACAAAACAACATCCTGAGTAATCCAGGTGCATCTGGTCTAATCACGTGAGTCCTTAAAAGCAGTGAACTCGAGCTAGAGGCAGAAGGGATGCCGCTGAAGGAGAACACAGTATGCTGTTACTTGTTTGAAGATTGCGGGGTGGGGTGGGTAACATG